AGTAGTACCAGTACCGCAGCAGCAGCAGCAGCAGCAGCAGCAGCAGCAGCAGCAGCAGCAGCAGTAGTAGTAGTAGTAGTAGTAGTAGTAGTAGTAGTAGTAGTAGTAGTAGTAGAAGAAGTTGTAGTAGTAGTGGCATATATTATCTACATAAGGAAGGGAATTTGAAAAACCTTAAATTCCAAACAGGTAGGAAACGTATGTCCGCTGGAAACGAGCTCAAAGGCAAGGTAGAAAAGTACAAGTTAACGCATCCGTTTTTCTTCCACCCCACTGTAAAGACCAATTCCATCTGCCTGTCCACATTGGACATAGATGGACAAATAACCATAAATATCACTGTAACTAAGGTAGAAATAGTTGTATAGTAACATAGTCATTCAAAATAGTGTGATAAGCACCCTACGTGGTAAAATTTAGGTCCCTGAAATGTGGCTCGTCGATGTTAAGACCACTGAGGATTTGGTGAGAACCCAAGTTCCAAATCCACATTGATTCCCTTTGATTTAGATTTTCTTTTTTAGGATTACGAACTATTTCAATGCCCTGAAGCTGCAGGCGGAGGCTCCATTGTGACCAGAAGTGTTGAAATGTTGGCCGACTGGTGTGCATGAGTTTTTCTGTACTGAATACCCTTGGTTATTGAACCTAGCTCTTAGTGTGGTGGCAGTTTGACCTACATATTGGGCTGAACAGACTTTACAAGAGACAAGGTAAATCACGTTTTTGGTTTCACAGGTTATGCTGTTAGAAAGTTTTCTTTTAAAGCGGGGGCCTTCTACAAAGTTGTTTTGCATCATCATCATCATCATCATCATCATCATCATCATCATCATCATCATCATCATCATCATCATCATCATCATCATCAATTCGAAATGGCAATTCAAATGGAGTTATTTGGACGAGTGGAGGTGTCTCTGAGTATGAAGACAATGGAGCGTCGCTCTTCTTCCAAGATTTCTTCGTAGAGTCCACCAGACCCATTAAGGAAACAAAAAAACTCATGATCATCATCATTATGATCACTTTATTTTGGTGTCGGCTACAGAGCTTCCCCATTGGTTATGGCTGTCTTCGTTGAGAGCAATCATCATCATCCAGTGCCAGAACTGCGACAGACACCGGCGATCATGATTTTCCGTTTATTCCTTTGCTCGGATGCTCTAAAAAAAAACTACGTTTCCCCGATCTTTCCCTGTTACCCGTTCGTTGAGAGCAATGCTTCCCATTAAAGCAACGAAGTGAACTGAGCAGACTTCCGAAATGAGATTGAAAACGAGATGGATACCTTGACAGAAACTGCCGATCTGAATCTGCGAGTCAATCGTTTCAGTGACATCTTACTTGAAGCAGCTTATGCGCATGTCAGAAAGGTGAAGCTGTCTTAGAAATCACACTCTTGGATAACCGCAATGTGTTATGGACTGATCAAGAAATGAAACCAGCTAAGAAAGAATATCTCCACACACAGGAAGGAATAATTACAAGCTTACGTAGATGTTACAGCAGCTGTTCAAGAAACAAAGATTAACCAATGGAAGGGGGTAGTTAATGGCGCCATAAATGATCTGGACGAAAGGAAAACTTGGGAGTTTCATCAAGTCTCTAAATGAATAACTAGAAACCAACTCTCCAAACACACGGATAACATCAGCAAAGAAATAAGCTGAACCTTTGGCCTAGCATTATGCACAAATCGGTAAGCTTCAATTTACCCAAGAGGAACGCAGAAGAAACAAACTCCTATTGTATGACGATGTGGAAAGCGAAGATGAATAACAATCGTACCCAGACTTAATCACGCAAGAGGTGAAGCTTGCTATAATACAAATGAAGAGAGGAAGTGCTCCAGGACCTGATGATATATTACCATCTTTCCTAAAAGAGCTTGGCCACTCGCATTGAAAGAATATTGCTCAGCATATTAATGTAATCTATCGTATTAACTTAGTAGCGTGTCCACAAGGCTGGCATATGTCACTCATCAATCCTCTCTTGAAATCTGGTTAGTCACCAAGTGACATGACATCCTTTCGATCCATTAATTTGATATCTTGTATCGTGAAAGTTGAAGAAGGAATGCATACTGAAAGAATTTACTACCTGTCAGAGAAGAATGAGTGGATTGCAGATATTCAGGCAGGCTTTTGACTAGGTCATGGCTGCACCGAACAGGTCATCAGAGAATCTGTCAAGGAATTGAGGATGACTTTCAACAAAGGACAACATTCCATTGTTAAGTCCTTTTCCTGCTGGACTACTTCAAGGCATATGATACGGTTTGGTGTAAAAGACTATTACTGTCAATGGCTGACAAGGGAGTTTCGTTGCGTGCAATCAGATGGACCCATGTTCTGAGAAGCAGACAAGCCCTTGTGTGCCTGAATGGAGAAACAAGCAGGTGCCAAGCACGGGCTTCCCCAATGAGCTGTACTATCGCCTCTGCTTTTTATGTTCTTTATAAACAACCTTGGTTAAATCTCCCCAAACCCTGACCCACAACAACTAACCTCCGCCAAGTTGATCTACTCCATTTCACTGATTACGGCACAATATTGGTCAGTCACGCAAAGAGAGAAAAGGCAAATGCCGCAAGACAGTTGATTGTGGACATGGTTGTGAAAAGGAGCAATGAATGGAATTGTATCTTGAATACAACCAAGATTGATGTGGGCTTTTTCTCAACATGGATAAAAGAGGCAACGTGGTAACCAGTAATTCAGATCGAGGGGGAAAAAATACCTATAAACCCCGCTGCACGTCTGCAGAAACATGCTTACCTTCAACAAAAATATTGAGGAGGTGTCCAAAAGTGCATCCTGAAAAAAATGAAGATGATCGGTGCTGTCAGCAGTTCGAAATGTGGTTGGGATAAGGAGTCGCTCAGGAAGGTATGTCAGATGTTTGTGAAAAGCGAGATGGATAATGCTGCCCCAGAGTGACAGCCTTGGCTGAATGAGACTAGTGTAAAGACCCTGGACAGGATACAAAACAAAGCCCTCCGCCTTGTTTCATGTCAGCTGAAAACAACACCAACAGAAGCACTGCACAATGAGACTAGAACTGAGCACTACACAACCTATCCAAAAAGAATATGCCTCAAGTCTGCAAGAGAGGGCTATCCTAGAAAGAAAGCCCTTGGTCAAGTAGTCACGCCCAAAAACAGCAGGAAAAGTAGGTTTCGGATGGGTACCAATCTAGCGGACACCCCCCCCCGAAGCAGTCAATTAGACAATTGATGGCCAATCGGGATTGACTGGCGAGAGCTTGTCCACGGGAGACCCATGGCGAAATCAAAATCCGGACAGAACCGAGAGTAGTGAAGAGCAAAGGTGATGATCATGTAAAGGTGCGTGAAGTTGCAGAGGAAGTAATCAAGGAAGTTGGTGCCGAAGAGACAATTTTCACTGATGGATCGGCTGTTGCAGGATATCGCAAAGATAGAGCAGCATCAGTAGAGATAATGAATGAGGAGCCACCACGAATAACAATCATAACAACTACAGGTGTATCCTCACATCATCTTATGACCAGGGATGCCAGTCAATGATGTCTGCCGTGCAATGGAATGTTGACGATTGCCAGAGCAGAACCAATGTGCTGATCTTGACTGACAGTTAGTCCCTCTGTAAGGGACTGCTAGGTAGCAGCTCAGGTATAAACGATTTGGACCGCACTTTCAGTGAAACCACAGCCACAGTAAAGGTCTAATGGATTCCAAGCTTTGGAATCGAAGGAATTGAGGCAGTACACCAAGATGCCAATGAAGCCAGAGAGACTGAAGGAGACAGACAAAAAAACGACACAAGAGGAGTCTTTCCAATAATCAAGAGGGGGATCAGAGACCCATCATGCACAGTTAAGTACCAGCACTTTGAAGATGTGTATTTTGGGTACTCCAGTAAGCAGGAACAATTAATCACAAGTGGCTGGGATCAGGTTGAGCTTGAAATGGTATCAGAACGTTGTGGGTGAAGAGCTCAAACCACGTTGCCGAATAGACAACCATGAAAACAAGAATGCCAAACATAAGTTTGATTGTCCAGGAACAATGGCAACTCGAATAAAACTATTTGGACGAGTGGAGGTGGCTCTGAAAATAATGACAATGGAACCGAAAAAAAACCCTCACTCTCGCTCGAAGATTTCTTCGTTGAGTCCACCAGGCTCATTAAGAAAACTTTTTTTTAAAAGTAATTTAAAAAATAAAAAGAATAATAGTCATCATCATCATCATCATCATCATCATCATCATCATCATCATCATCATCATCTGCAGCAGCAGCAGCAGCAGCAGCAGCAGCGATTTATTATATTGTCACTGCATCGATTTATTATATTGTCACTATTATTTTGACAGTAATTTATTAAAAATAACTTATTTCGATGACCCCACCCCTTTATTAAAAAAAGATAATTTGTAAAGGAACATTTTTTAATGGCTCGTGGTAATTTCTGAACATCTGTGGACTATTTCTAGAAAACTACAGAAGAGTATCTAAAACAGCTGAGCCTTTCGGAAAGTCTCAAAACGTTTTGGAGGTTATGTTATCTCCTTAGTATATTATGTTAAACGTGTGTGCGTCCTGGACTGCAGTTGCAATGTAATGTGGCAGAACATTTTGGCTTACTTAACTGTACTAGGTTACTGAATTAGAAATCAGAAAAGGAAAAACGAAGATCAAAATCATGTGTAATACTAATTTAGTTGCAGGCTTGTAGTAAAAAGACCCTGAGCAATCCTGTATGTCTAGAAACTTCATCAGGTTATGACAGACGACCCTAGAGCTGAACTGACCAGCGTCCGTAACGCTGTTGTTAGGCTGCTTGCCGTTATACTCTGAAGACGTGACTTCGATTTTTTGGATTTTTTAAAAATCGAACATCTTAGTCTGCTGGGGTGTTCCAAACGTTTAAAAGATTTTAACCATGGGAGTAGGAGTGTTACATCGATAACGACACAAATAAGGCAATTTTGGAGGCGGTTTCAAAACTACCTGTTAGGCCTGTCCCAGACTGGCTCTGTAGGGCTGACCTAGGTGGCCTGGCGCACGCCGTGTGCGTGTCAGCACAGCCGCACTGTGGGTTGGCGCCTGTGTTTCAGCGAGCGCGAGGCACACTCGCTGTGTGTCAGCACAGCCGCAGGGTGTGTTGACGTGTGTAGGTTTGCAACTGACGGGTTTGCCTTGCTATATTTAGGTACTGTGTAATCCAAGACCAATTATACCAAGACGGGACAACTCTTCTTTACGTCATGTGCCAAGTGCAGCCGCCCCCCCTCCCCCCCCCCCCCCCCCCACTGCCCTCACACACACACACACACACACATTTGCAGCTGCGCGCGGCGATAGTTTACATTGGTAATGCAAGGCTAGATCGAGATGCCTAGGCCTACGACAACAGTCGAAACTAGGTCAAGCTCTCGATTCGAAGTTTCAAAGTATGATAAAGTGCATTTCTAGGTGATTTTGTGGCCAAGTGTTGATGCTAGCATCAATATTTAATAGTAAAGAACCTAATAATACTTACTTCCTGTTGATTTTGATGATCTGTGAAGAGTTTCAGTCGAAAATAAACACGAAGCGAGGCGACACATGTCCGCCATTTTCACAACACTGTTGGATAACACGTTTGACGCATCGCGCAGCTCTGCTGACAAAAAACAGACGACTCAGCTACGCTGCTTTAGCACACGATAATGTTTACATTCATTTGCACGGTGCGAGCCAGGCCACCTACTGTAGGTCAGCCCTACAGAGCCAGTCTGGGACCGGCCTCAACCTGGGCTGAGAGGGATACAACACATGTGTGCGTTCAATCAATGCAAAGGAACCCTTATGAAATACATCAATTCTGAAGGAATAAATGAAATAGAAAAATTAATAGTAACATTACATGAAATTTTTAGGTTTTAAACATTCTGTTGACTTTGTTAAATCTTGTAAGAGATTATAAGTCGTCAGACTCTGTGTAAAGTGTTTAATGGTCTATAAAGGTCACATTTTTCTGTGATCATACGTGGCCGTTATGTATAGGTGAGACTATATAATTATAATATACGTCTAGGGCATAGAGCAATACTGACTCTAGAGCTGCGTAATTTAAGATACTTGAATTCCAACTACGCACTGGAGTTTATCACGTTTGATAAAAAAAACCTGGTCACGATGCCAGACATTTTAAAAACAGTAGTCTTTTTTAAAGTTTGAAATCCTATCATTTTACGAAAAGAAAAATAATGCCTATTACTTGACGTGTCCTACTTTGTTTTAATCTCTGTCCTTGCTGGCGTTTTTTTTCTTGGTGCTGTTACTACTGTTTCTGCTTTTCATGTTTTTGTTGCTGTTTTGTTGTTGCTGTTGTTGTTGTTGTTGTTGTTGTTGTTACTGTTGTTACTGTTGTTGTTGATGATGTTATCGCTATATTGTTATTGTTCCTAATGTTCTTAATTTGTTCTTGCTGTTGTTACTGCTGCTGCTGTTTTTATTGTTGGTGTTGATGTTGTTTTTCTTGTTGTTTCTGTTGTTGCTATTGTTGTTGTTATAGGTGCTGTTGTTGTTTTTTTCTACTGTTCTTCAACTGTTGTTTTGATTAAACTTTTTCTTTACTCTTTCTATTATCCCAATCCCCCTTCTGATTCGTTTTCTTCTTCTATTTGGATTTTTTTTTAATGTTGCTTTTTTCGTTGTTGTTGTTGTTTTTTCTGCCGACTTAGGTGTGTCTGGTAGATCTAATTCCTGAACTGTACTTTTGTTTGAGAAGTTTGCACTTTTTCCCACACCCATGACACCGTCCTATCATCTAAGATGAACACTAACCCATAGCCTAGCGTTTGTCTTATAGAGAACCGTGATGTTGCATGCCTCTTTGGTACTAAACTTTGTACTCTGGTAGCACCACCAAAAAAAAATCGTTTCATAATAATTGTAAGATCTCGACTAGAATCGTGAGTTCCAAAATGTTAAAAACAAAATGTTTTCAAAAGGCTCGCTTTCTGATAAAATAATAATAATAATGCTCTTTCTTTTTTTATCAAAGCTACTCGTTCTTTTTTATTTTGATGGTTTAATGCAAAACTCACGACGTCACAATCGTGACCGACAGGGTATAAAAGAGTACAATTTTGATTCCTCAACTCATACCTAACAATCAACAACCAACTGACTTCTTCAGACGTCGCTAAAAACTTTGAAAATCTGCAGCCATGTACAAGTTTGTTGCCTTAGCTTTTGCTCTCTGTAAGTGTTCTTTTCTTGTTATTCTTGTTATTGGATTGAAATGTTTTTGGCTGTTTGACGTCGATTGCTTCTTCTGATTAATCTATAAATCTGTGACTTGCATATACTGAATAGTGCAGAACGTTTTATTCTCACGTGCCTTTTTTACTGTGGTATTGTTTATAGCCAACAACGAAGGGCTCTCACCCTGTCACATTTATATCTACTCGATCTACTTTACTTCCAGCCAGCAGCTGTGCCTCATCTGTTTCAGAGCTGCTGCCTCCACATCTAGCTCCCATCTCGGCCTCACTCTCTTCCTCCTCCCCTGTGGATTCTATCTGAGGCTTTCTCTTGTCATATTGAGGGCTTGCTTTCCCTAAGAGTGTGACCGACCCACTGCCATCTTCTTGTCTTGATCTCACGGTTAACTTGTTGTTCTTTTGTTCCAATCCCTAATACTTTACAAAGGTACATTTCTGATGGTGTACCACCAGTGGATTTTCATAATCTTGCTCAAACAACCATTACTGAAGGACTGTAAATTGTTTCAATTTATATGGTCCATACAACAATATTGCTTTAAACATATGTATTGAAAATTCCACACTGTCACTGTCTGAATGGTGACCTGACGAGCACAATGCTAGACTGAACAGGTCTAAAGCCGGCTGCTGGAGAAATAAGTCAATTTCCTGGCAAAATATTCTTTGTACTTTCCTACAAATAGCCTATCACCCTTTTTGAGCGTTCTTTAAAAAATAACTCTCGTAGCAGTTTATTTACTTTTAGGTTGATTTTTTTTCTTTTTTGTAAATCTGTATAAACAATTCTCTTTTTTAATATAGGTGGTAGATTTCAATACGATATTGTTTATTATGATACTTGTATTTACAAATAACTATATGAGAATTCCTGGTGTCCTGTAGGCGTGGTCGTTGTGTACAGCCAAACTTCTTGTAGCACCAGCCACGACTGTCACCCAACACCGTGCCACGACGCACACGTCGCCTCATGCAACAGCCACACCAAAGTTTGTGAATGCAACGACGGCAACAACCACCAAGAAAACCACAACAACCACGGTAAGTTGCCAAGTGGTACCCACTGCCTGTTCCGTACAGCTGCATCTTTCAACTCATGTCCTTTCCAGTCTGTCTTAAATCACTGCTCTTCTTCTTCTTCTTACACTGTGTTGCAATGTGTTTTTGGTTAATTTTTAAAAATTTTAAAAATTAAACTTTCTAAGTTAACAATTCACCATCAGCCACATTTTCATGTTTGGGATGTGTGTCAGTAATATTGGGAGATACTGCCATTTCATATTATTGAAAACTTGACAATAACTTTTTCTTTAATTTAGACGCCGCTGTAGGCAAGAGAGCGACCTCGTGCAAGGCTGACCACGACTGTCACCCAACTGTATGCGGTAACAACCACCACGGAGTCTGCAAGAACGGACACTGTGATTGTCACATCCCACATGGTACTTATGCTCGAACAAATGTTAAAATGTTCTGTATCCAAAACGTTCAATTTTTTCTTTAAATTACAGATTCTTTATCTGCAGTATGCGCTCAATCAACATTTTGTCTAAATTCAAATACAATAGGCCTATATATATTTTTAAACAAGGAAAAATACAACTTTCATGTAGGTGACATTGTAACAGAATGAAACAGTTTTCCTATTTGGTTTCTGGGTTTCGTATAATTTTACGGCTTACCGAAATTACGGTTTTAAAAATGATGCTAAACTGAGGGCGCACTGTCAATCGAATTCATTTCATCAAGTCAAGGTCAGCTAGCCCTTAGTTTGGCATTCCCCGTTGTAGGCGCTAGATGCACTTGTTTGTCTTTACTTTGGAATGGGACTAGAAGTCAATTGGTTTTATTGAGAAAGAGATAGAGAGAGAGAGAGAGAGAGAGAGAGAGAGAGAGAGAGAGAGAGAGAGAGAGACAGACAGACAGACAGACAGACAGACAGACAGACAGACAGACAGACAGACAGACAGACAGACAGACAGACAGACAGAGAGTGTGTGTGTGTGTGTGTGTGTGTGTGTGTGTGTGCGTGAGTGAGAGAGAGATAGAGACAGAGAGAGAGAGAGAGAGAGAGAAAGAGAAGAGAGAGAGACAGACAGACAGACAGAGATAGAGATAGAGACAGAGACAGACAGACAGACAAACAGACAGACAGACAGAGAAAGAGTAAGAAAACGGAGTAAGACGTTAGAGAAATAAAGAGGAGAGAGAAAGAGGAAGAGCAAGTTAAGGAAGATAGATAGATAGATAGATAGATAGATAGATAGATAGATAGATAGATAGATAGATAGATAGATAGATAGATAGATAGATAGATAGATAGAAGGGGGAGAGGGAGAGAGAAAGGGAAAGAGAAAGAGAGGAGATGGACAGAGAGGGGATACGTTGAAAACGGGTTGTCTTATTAAATTCCATATATTGCCGGCTAACTCCCGTCTTGTCATTTCTGGTCTGTCTGACATTGCTGCTGTTCTTCTTCTAACTTTATGTTATAATGTGTTTTAGTGAAGAAGATTTCAAACGTTAATCTTCGTATCTCTACAGGTCACCATCAGCCCCACTTTCATGTTCGCGGTGAGTATCAGAAATATTGGGAGTTGATGTAATCTTATTTCATGTTTAGGTCTGATTCATAATCCTCCCTACCCAGTCCAAACACATACAACAATTTGAAGAATATTTGTTTTGTTTTAGTAAGAGTTTTACGGCACTTGCAACACTAGAAGGTCATACAAGTGTTGACGATTAGAAGTGCTGCAAGAGAGTAACACACTCAAAAAAAGAAGAAGAAGAGATTAGGCCAATAAATGTTTGATAAGAAATAAGGAGCAAACCACACGAAATGATCAGCCGACCACCCACATGTATGTTTAAGGAAAAACAATGTAAGTGTTATTACGCCTTCATCGACACAGTTCAAATTTGATTAACATTGAATATATTATGTAGTAAATGGGACGTACTTTTCATGTCTTTTCTTCAGCCCACAACACCCATTGTATCTCTGACGCCCACTGTGTGAACCTGTGTGGCAAGGACCACGCCAAATGTCACCCTGACAATATGTGCCATTGTCACCTACATTAAAGCCTCACCCAGACCTCGACTTTTCAAGGATGTCATCAACCTGTGCTTGAGCATGCTCGTACAATAGCAAAATACACAGACAGGCCGATAGACAGACAAAGACACACACTCACATAAACCACACACTCATACACTAGTACACACATCATTATATAATCAGAGAAGGAAATAAATTAAGTGCAACTCCAGCCAACCTTTCAGTTTTGCTTTACTTTCTTAATAATTAGATTTTTAATTGCTTGTCATGTATTGTTTTGCTTTCAAATTTTCTTTTGACTATCCTTTTATTTTTAAAAATAATTCTATGTCTTTTCCTACCGTAACTTTTTGACCATCTTTAAGCACCGCTAGCGGTCGGCTGGAATGGGGCTCGAGTTAAATGGTCATCTAACGACAGGACAAAGCCATACAATTAAAGTAATTGTAGATACTGCACGACGCGATCGAGACAATTACGATCATTTAGGAAGCAGGTTGATTCAACCCCGCCTGTTAGAACCAACCCAGTGTGTGATGGAACACCGTACCAGTACAAAACTGGAAATACAGGATTAGACGAAGAAAACAACAACCTCCATAAAACAGAATCGAGCTCGCACTTTCGGCTTGCAATCGCAAAACGCCTGCCGCTATACCACAAACTAAGCCGAAAGAATGTAAAAACATGATACGTGTACAATCTCTCAAGCTACCTATGTTCGAAAATGCTTAATTGAAGTTTGAAGCTGTGTTCATTTAATCCACAAGTGAGGAAAGCACCACGTGAGCTGACAACAGTCTTGTAGTGAAGGAGGTGCATTACGTCGGGTTAGATGAGAAGAAGAAGGAGGAGGAGTACTGGAAAAATAACACAACTACCAACAAAGAAAAAAGGAGCATTAGGAAGACATTAATAATAAAAATAAAACAAATGCCAAGTGTATTCTTTGACTTTTTAAGGCGTTAAAGGTGTTTGAGAGTAAAAAAAAACTTGTAAAATACAGTATATTACACTATCTCTTTGTCCTTTACCAGGTTTGATCAACATATAAGTGTGTGCCTTATAAAAACAAACAAACAAAAAACGAGTTGGGAAACAAAGGGTGGTAAGGGCGAAACGAGGGGGGGGGGGCGTGCCTCATAATACGCGTAAGATCCAAAAATAGCCTTAATCTGTAGCAGGTTTTTACTATCAAGGACATTGTAGTAGTAAAGATAACAGAAAACCGTGTCGCAGCAGACAGTATCCCTCCTGAGATAAACTGTGACCTTAAGCGAACCTGAACTTTGAACTCTCAGTGTCTTCGTTTGAACCCACCTAATCGGACTATCGTTGATTATGCTCTGATATCAATATCATCGTGCTAATCTATCGGAGAGTTCTATTTCCAACATACAGGGGTGAAGCAAGTCTACCAGAACATCACGATACGAGTTTATTGTGGCACGTTTCTTATGCTGTGGATGGTAGAAATCTGGTTGTAGAAATCGTGTGTCACGATTATATTATTATATTGAGGAATAATTATGCACCCTGTAGTTGTATAGCTTTTCCGCTGCCACCTTTGCTTTTACAGACTGTCAGCTGATTTCTGAAGTCTCAAAGTTGAAAAGTTTGGGTTTTTTCCTGTTCTTCAAATCATTTCTGTTTTAATGCTACTGTCGAAAATGTGAAATAATATTTGCTCCTTCCTTTGAAAAGTTTATTTATTGTTGCTGTTGTTGTGTGTGTTTGGTAGCCTATCCGTTCGAAATGTTTGGAGCCCCGAAGAGCCTCATCATCATTGCAATCATCATCCTTATTATTATTATTATTATTATTATTATTATTATTATTATTATTATTGTTATGTAGTGCTATAGTAGTAGTAAGAT